GCTCCTAGTAGTAAGGCCAGGAGCCCCTAGTAGCTTCTTGTTACTAGTGGTAAGGCACTTGTTGCTAGTAGAAATGCACTTGTTCCTAGTAGCGAACATTGTTTCGAGTTTTCATAGAAATGTGTTCATGTTTCTGTTTCATTTTGTTTCTAATAGCCTCCAACCTAGCGATGGAAAGAACAGGAAAGAAAAGGAAGAAAGGAAATATGAAGCGATCGAAAAACGAAGACGTTTGCAGTCTTCCTTAGTGTGCTGGGTTCGAGTTAATTATTGCCTGACTCTGGAAAGCCTCGAAGAGGTCAGCGGCCAGAACCTCCACAATCCAAAAGAAGATACTTCTCACTTTTGGCAGTGAAACAAATGATGGCGTCATAGTGAATGACTGTTGAAATGCCCTCTGGTCTTCCCCAGAACTGCCTGTCTCCAAATGGCAGTGTACTCGCCCGCAGCGAAGCCACTGGAGAAAGGCCCCTCAAAACCACAAAGACCTCAACAAGAAACAACACGCATTGACTCGGGGAAGAAAGCGTTCCATCAAACAAAGATCCTCTTAAGACCAACGTGTCAAGAAGTCACCTGCTTACGAGGAACTGAATAAAGACATTGGGGATAGGTAACTCCCCAAATAGTCATAGTACAAGTACCTGCATATCCTGCTTTACTCCCCTGAATAAAGACCCACGGACTGCCTTCTTCAAGGCCATCGTTGAAGTCAGGCAAGACCAAGCCAATCTCCTGCAGGGAGCCGTTTCGCGTTGTTTCACATGGCGTGATGAAAGCCGTCCTGGTACATCCGGCCTTCAATGCTACAAAGAATGCAATGTAGCAGCGTAGCATGTGTCTCCACCCCTGGCTCTTGTGATACCTGACCCTAGCCGGAACGTAAACTCACCATACAGCTTTTGACACAAAGACGCCAACCACAGTTCCTGTAAATCCCCCATTAGATGGCAAGGGCAGCCCACGTTGGTAATGTCTAACACCAACCAGGATGATTGGAGAATCAGCAAGAACTTGCCATGCCATGCCTCTTGTGAAGCTGTGAAGCTGTCCTTGCTTGATAGCCGCTCGCGGGCAAGCTCCAGAATCTGATCCTCTGTCAGATCCTCAATCCACACAGCGCTCTGTGGCCATGCTGCTCTGGCCATCTGCTCTGTTGCCCTTCAAAGCGGTCCTGCTTGGAGTGTAATTCGAGGTCAAGCTGAGCCTAAGCAAGTCTCAAGTGAGGGCAGGGCAAGTCAAAGATCAAATACATATATATATATATCTTTCAATGAGTTGACACTTTGACTAGTGTGACGTGCCAGCCTATTTGAGCCGCAGGGCCCAAGAGACTCTTCGGAAAAGCTCGAGTCCAACATGAAGAGCCTGCAAAGGATTAGATGAATGCCCCAAAAGGTCCAAAAGGTTTGAAGAAGCTACTAATGACAAGGGCATCGCTACTAGTAGCAAGGGCGTTACTACTTGTAACAAGAAGCTACTAGTAGCATCTAGTAGCTATTTGCTACTAATTAGCGGAAATGCACTTGTTACTAGTAGCGATGCCTTTGTTACTAGTAGCTTCTAGCTACTAAGCTTAGAAGAATGCCCCACCGCACGATATGATGGTCACATGGCGCTCCCGCAGGGCGCTACGAGCATCCGCTGACGCAGCGATGCAGGCGATGGCAGGGCTCACCGAAAACGTGTTTTTGCACCTCGGAGTTCCTCATCGTGTCTAAGACCTTTTCTGGAATGCTTTCACCAGTCCTTGGTCAATCATGTTCTTAAAATGCCATCATTACATGGAACTCATCTGATGTGCAAGCTCAACATTGACCCAACATTGATACAAATCTTTGTAGTTGCATCGCTTTTGGGATTCTGCTCCCCCCCACTCTGATAGCATATCTCTTGCCTTTCTCTTGTAGTGTATTTACATCACTATACGACTGGATGGATCAGGCTGTTTGGACGCCAAGGAGCTGCCAATGACCACCGAAGGACTGCAAAACAAAGGGATTTAACACCCATTGCCTCGTGATCCAGATATTGCATTCTCAGCTTCGAAACAACTTCTAATCTTTTGGGGAGAGGCATTGCAAGCATGGTAAATAGATATTATGTCCATGCAGCTATAGTCAATGTATCAGCTTGCCATCGGAGTGCTTCGGCTTCGCCAGCTGAGGCTGCAACTCCATAAACTCTGGCAGAACTCCGGCGTCAATCTCTTGGTGTTCTGGACCAGCAAGGCCTTCCTCCTACGCCGCCGTTCGGCCACGTGAAGCCCCGCCATATTGCACTCTTGTAAGTAGCTATTAAAGCGAGCGTTGTCGTCCAAGACTTATGAAGTTCGTAGAAGAGGTAGCCTCTTCTTGACACATGTGGACCATTCTATGGATCGCCCGATCTCATAATAGCAGCTTACATCCGTCTGCGCTACTGAGTTGCGGTCAAAATTCGATGATACCACAGCTACTAACAGTGAGAGGTAGTAAAATACTGGATGATTTGGCTACCGCTCAAAGGGTGTCCTGCACATTCAGCAAGTGCCGCAAAGCCCCGCCGGCTGCGTGAAATAGTGAGCGCACCTTTAGTGAACTTCAGTGTCAATTAAATTATGTTTTCACATGCCTCACCAGAGTCTCCTTTTGGGGCTTCCTTGACTACCCGCCAGGTGAGCTAGCTGTCAATCATGCAAGGACGTTATATAACGACAAACAAGAACAAAAACAAACACTGAACAAATTGGCCTTGAAGGAACAAGTGAGTTGGAACTTTGTTGTGTATGTAGCGTATGATTGTTTTGTTTGGAGTTGAATGCCTGCTGCAAGGACAGAAGGTCTGGCTGCTCGCGACGAGGCGGTGGTAGGTCACCCACCTTCAGCAATGCTCGACTCATCGAAATGCAAGTCTTCGAGTCTGCGACTCATCGCTACCAGTAACAAGTGCATCGCCATCGCTACTAGGAACAAGTGCCTTACTAGTAGTAACAAGAAGCTAGTAGTAACAAGTGCATCGCTTCTAGTAACAAGGGCATTACTAGTAACAAGGTTCGCTACTAGGGGCTCCTGGCATCGCTACTAGGAGCAAGGACGCTACGTTCTGCATAGTGGCGACTTCTGAAGCCCAAACCCTGCGTTCTCAGTTTCGCTCAGCGTCCCACGATATGGGCAATGGGTCGCCTCGCCACGTTCTTCTGACCCAAACGCTTTGAGTAGCTCACGAAAGAGTCCTCAGTTGTCGAATGAAGGCTTGGTTAGGCAGGTGAAGCCTTCTTGATCTCTTTGCTTTAATGGTTAAGTGATGTAGAGTGAGTCATCTCAATTCGTCTCCCATGAAGGGCCGGGTCAGTCTTGCGTCTTTTTGGCTGCAAGAAATGTACATCCACAGCACCAGGCTGTGCCCGGCTTTGCTGGATACCCTCTCACACGTCCACCCTGTGAGCCTGTGGAAAAGTCCGAGTTCAGCTGAAACACGATTCAAGGTAAGTGGAAAGTAGCTGAGCCATCAAGGACACAACATGACACTGCGAACGGCATCAACTCGCCTCCAACCTAATAGCTAGCATCTAATAGCGATGGCCTCCAACCTAGTAGCTTCTTGTTACTAGTAGCTTCCTTGCTCCTTGTAGCGATGCCAGGAGCCCCTAGTAGCGAACCGTGTTTAAAAGGATTGGAGTGGTGTGGAGTTGCTTTTTGATGCTTTTTGTGGATTGATTGACAAGTCAGCTACGGAACTAAGGATCTTGTGACATCCTGTGCCCAACCAAAGACCATGCCAAATACGAACATCAACCTTTTCGGTGATTGCTAGAGCAACCCAGTTGCAGGTCTTCGGCAAACACAATGTCCAAATCCGTGATGTTCACACGGCCCCAGGACGGTACCGAAACTGCCTCGGCCATCTTGCTGCCTTCCTGTCCGCTGTGAAGAGGGACGTGCACTCTCCGAAAAAGAGCTCGAAGGGCAACGTCTGTTGGAGGCCATCATAGGTTGGAGGCCATTTCTGGACCTGTGTCTCCTTTCACCTCTTTTCTTTTCAAGCCTCCGTGACGGTGCTGATCTTCCAAAAGGGGCTGCGGAATGTCTCAATGTCTTTGCACCCTTCATCTTATGTTCAGTGATGACATCTAGTCATGAAACTAAAAGTCTCACACTTTCTGCTCAAGCGAATCATTGGACACATCCTGCTCCCGCTCAGTCACCCTGCCTCAACGAAGCCAGTTCATGGGGTTCAAGGAGTTCAAAAAGCTGAAACTTGGCAATTCCACACCCAAGACCTGCAGTCTCATATGATCTGCGCATTTGCCGCATTTGCGGCTTCAAGACTGACCTGTAGTCTCCCTCAGTTCTAGAGTCCGGGCGTTAAGTTTGAAAGACTGTCTTGAAACTACTAGTAGCAAGAACGCTACCAGGTTGGAGGCCATCGCTATTAGGTTGGAGGCCATTACTACCAGTAACAAGAAGCTTTCCAGGCAGTTCGAGATGAAGTCACATGTCCAGTGTTCCTACCTGTGTCCCGGCTTGATTCTTCTCTGCAGCTTCCTTCAACATCAGAACCGACTAAGAAAAGTCTTAAATCAATCTGCAAGAGAGCCATATTATAATAGCCTTTCTTTCCACTCAAACTGGCCAGGAGCAAGAATGGTTGCAAATCGTTCGTTCTGACTTTCAAGGATTCAAGACAATGCATTGCATTTTCCGGGAAATCAAGGTCCTTCTTTGACTCAGAGTCTGCAACCATCTTGACCACGGAGTCCACAGACCCCTAAAGCTCGCAAGAATCAGTGCAACTCTTTGCGAGATACTTCGGCAAATAAATACTTCTCAAAACATCTAATAGGAATGGCCTCCAACCTACTAGCGATGGCCTCCGACCTACTAGCGATGGCCTCCAACCTAATAGCAGAAGGAACCTGATACAGTAGTGCTCAAAATCATCAAGTTTCACATACTGACATACTACAGGCAGAAGTTGTCTCGTTGGAAAAACTCGGCCGTATGACTATGACCCGCGACCTTGCTCTGAGAAGATGTCACATGATCTCCCACATCCTCACGAATCCTTGCAACAGAAGCACAAGAAGAAAGCCAATCTAAACCATTCTGGACCGACAGCACATGATTCACTATGAGCCCATCGTGAGGCCCTGTGATGCTCCAAATTCTGCTTCGCGTCAAATGCCCCGTGTCTTCTCCAAAGAGCTCGTCGGCCAAAGCCTTCCCCTCCGACAACTTCTTGACACCTCCGGCCAGGGGTTGACGGTGTGATGAATGTGGCTATGTTAATAGCAATGTCGTCCTTAAGGCTCTCCAACCTAATAGCATCCTTGCTCCTAGTAGTAAGGCCAGGAGCCCGTAATAGCGTCCTTGCTCCTAGTAGCGATGCCAGGAGCCCCTAGTAGCTTCTTGTTACTACTAGTGATGGTCTCCAACCTAATTACGATGAACATGGCTTCATGAACTGAGACCGTGTTTGTCAGCAACGCATGAGGCCTAAAAGCAATCCGGAAAGCAACCCGGCCCTTTAAAGAGCGAAGCCTGTGAAAGATGCCTTCTTGTTGGACGTGATAACAGAAAAAGAACATCTATTTTTTCGATCTTGTGTCTTTGTTTTTCACTCCCATTGGCAAAAGGTAGTTGAGGAAGTCTCTACAACTGTAACGGCGGTCTTTCTCGGCCTCTTCCAAGTGCTGCGAGTGTCGAGTTCAAAGCCTTCCGGGCCAACTCCGGGTTGTCCATGATGGCATCCAAAGCCTGCCCAGAACTCGACTAGCTTGAAGAAATCTGAACAAGCCTGCTATATCCTGGGGCAAGACTTGCATGCTTCCAATTACTTCATGCTACACTTCATGCTAGGTTTACATTCCACAAGTACAAAAGTCGAATCACTAATCCAACGACATACTATAGAACAAACCCTGAACACATTCCTCTGCCTTCTCTGTTAGTCCGCTCTGAGGAATCTTCGAGGTATCCATGTCAAAGACAAAGTTCGAGAGGTTTTGACCGCTTGACAGCCTCCTCAGCGCCGCGTTCTGCTTCATCTTCGATGTTTGCAGGAAATGGTATCAAAACGAATGCAATGCGTTGGGGCCCGTCAGCGTTCAACAGGCTGTGTGCAATTTACACTGCTGTCAGGGCGTGTGTTCCAATTGCATTGGGCGTGTGGCTGGCACATGCAGGCACGACGGCCCATCACATTTCAAGAAAAAAACATCCGTTGGCAAGCGCAACGCAAAGTTTCAAATTGCGTAGGCAGGGCTTCAGCAGGTTGTGCCCTACTTGTGCCCTACTTGTCGGGCGAAGGTCGGCTAGTCGCCATGCCCTGTTAGCCCGAGGAAATGTGAATATATTATATACTTTGAACACCAGCAACCATGAGGAAACAAAACGATGTCAAAAACAATAGTTATATAGAGAAGCAACAGTGCGAATGGTGCGCTTGAATTGAAGTCAGGAGAACCATGCAACACTCAGTCAGCGAGCTTGGAGCAACTTGAAGCATCTTCCAGAATAAATACTTAAAGAAACATGTCTGTCACTGTACACTCCAAACAATGACACATGATTGCTTTGATACGTTACGCATCATAAATCATACCACCACAATGTCGCTTCACCGCATCACAAAACAACATGCATCATTACAATTCACCACCCACCATATCACCACCTCACGCTTGACCACAGATCACCACTTGCTCTAAGTCCTTCCACCAGCTCAGCCGATAACCTGATCATTTACTTCTTGGAGGTATGGCTCAACAACAATGGTCCGTGGTGATGTTTTGTTTTACAGCTACCAGTCTACAGTCTACCAGCAGTAATATGAGATTGGAGGCCATCTCTATTAGGTTGGAGGCCATCGCTACTAGGTTGGAGGCATTCGCTAGTAGCTCTGAGGCCATCGCTAGGCTATCGCTCTTAGGTTGCCAGTCTACCAGTAATAGCATTTTACTTCTTAATGGTCCGAGATTCTTTGTTATGGCCGAGAGGAGCACCCGATTCTCCGTCAGAATGGACGCCACCTGAGAATCTACACCGTTGGAGGTGCCCCACAAGGCTCCAGTTTGCAAAGGTGTTCAATAGTTTTCGGATTGTTCTCACCCCTTCCTTCCCAAAAAAGGGATTTAGGCTTAACTTTTGAATCAACTTGAATTAACTACCTCCGGACTATACTAAGCCCTTCTCTTGAAAATGACTCTTTCCGACTCTTTCCTTTAGTCTTGAATTCATCTGCCTCCTCCGGACTCAAGGCAGCAACATCTTTTGGCGCCACCACTGCATCCTTTCAAGAACTGGCAAGTCTCTAGGCAGGACACCTCCTCCGTGCCATAGTTGTATGGTAACATAAGTCTTGGGGAACATGTTTCATCCAACTTTCTGTGAAACTCTGAAGCTCCACAAGTGCCACAAGCTGTCCTTAAGGTTGTGTGGATGAACTGGTTTCCTCGGCTCAAACAGAGAATCGAGACTTGCGAAATTGCACCAGCAATTTCAGCAAAACATACTGCAGGTGTGGCCTACAAGCTTGTACACGCGTGAACGGATTCACTGTTACAAACTGAAGCATTACATAGGGTTCAGCATGACCAAGGCATATACATTACATACTATGGAAGCGAGGTTCTGCAGAATCTTGCTGGGCAATTGTTCATCGTCTTCTGTCCAGTACGGCTGTGACTTTGATGAATTCCTCAAGGCAAGCACAGGCAGCCGCCGAGATCAACAGATTCCATTCCATACACATGTCCTCTTCGATAATACAAGAATAGAATCATATTAAGAAAAACAAAACAGTGGCTAATGGTTAGGTTCCAGGCCATTCTCCAAAATAGTGATTTAATCTTAAACTATCTGTAACCAACTGTTACAGGTCTCCAAAGACAAAACCCACAAAACATACGCAGCCCAAAAGGCATATACGCAGGAATCTTCACCTGTGAACTTTGGGCGGAAGAGCCAGGGCTGCCAGGGCCTTTCTCCTCGCTCTCGTCCTGTGGCGAGTTGGTGATAGGAGGAAGCACTGTTGGTGATAGGACTGAAGGGGAAAAGAATGCCAAGCAAAAAGACGCTAGTAGGTTGGAGGCCATCACGAGTAGGTTGGAGGCCATCACGAGTAGGTTGGAGGCCATCACG